CAGCAGAGCACCACCTCCAGTTCGGCCAAGGCACCAACGTGGGCCGCTTCGTAGACAAGATACTGAATTTACGGCTCTTGGCGGAAGATCCAACCAGAATGGGAGACTTGGAATAGAGCTGGACGATACATGGCACTTGGTTGCTAGATCTAGCTTTGCCAGCCTCGACCGCTGAGGAAGTTAAGGTGGCAAACAGGCCCATGGTTGACTTCTATTATTGTCGACTATCAGCGTGAAAGATAGAAGGATAGATTCCTATCATCGAAACAAGAACATGTCGAACCCAACTTGGGCGTCTGGAATTTTCGAGTCACCAAACCACAAAGTGGACAAAAGGGTATCACCGATGATGTCTTTGGGTCGCTGCCCTCGGTCGAGTCTCCTTGCTTTTGCATGAGCGTCGACATGACCGATTTGGCGCAGGTGGAACCCACCATTTCCATGCTACAAGATGCGCTGGTGCGGTATCTGATTTCGCGTGGCAACAAAACCAGTGAAAAACCCGCGGCGGCTACCACCACGCTATTCGATCTTCGCTCCGTCTTTTTTGGTCTCGCCGACAATGACAAGGATTCCGCCAAGAGCGTCCATGCCAATCCCGATGCAGCCGATAAAAATGTCTACGTGTCGCTCGTTATTTCCGTATTGATTCCCTCACGAACCGAAGCCGCGGCGGCATACAAGGAAAAACAGGCCGAAGCCTTGGTCATGTACCATTTGCGAAAATACGCGGCGAGTTTGAATGCGGTCCTTTGCTTTGTGCGTACCGAGGAGCCTGTCGAAGAAGGAAAGGCAATTGATGCTCTCTCCATTCATCAACTCTCGCATGTATGGCACCAATTGGCCAAGGGAGAAGAAGGATGGAAACAATTTGACACGACAACTACTACTGCCAGCGAAGAAACAGAAGAAACACCCGCGGATACACCGCCTGCGGAGACCGTCATGGGTGTGTATGGACCTGGTAGCCATCAAGAAGATTTAATCGAGTCGGTATTGTTGCGGAATGCTCATTTCCCCGGACAGTGGGATGCCTCGAATGACTCCTTGTGGGTAGCACTGCCTTCGGCGACGGACGATGCGACGGCCAATGCTGCCGCCGATGCACCCGCGGACGGAGATGAATCTTGGCTTCGGGAACTACGATCGTCGGTTACCTCCGAGGCTGTCAAGACTCCTCCAGCCACTGCCAAGGGTGACTCCGCGGCCGATACTGCAAAGACACCCAATGATGCCGAATTGTCCAGCTTCTTTGACAGTTTGTTGAAGCCCTAGCTAGCTCGCTAGACGATGAAAACAACAACAACCAACTGGATGCGACTCTTTTGCTTTCTTTCTCCTATTAGATATTTTCAGTTCTGTGTATACAACTGAGTTAAAAAGTTATACAAGTAAAAAGCTGTTTCACGAAGGTCTCGATTGTTTCATCCACCTGGCCAGGACAGAATCATGGGCTAGTGCTGAAGCTTACCAACACAGCCAGCCATGTACTGGCCAGCACGTTCGCTTCGTGGAAGAAAAAACTTTTTCAGAGCTCACTATAATATTGGCATGGTGTCCTAAACTGCTTCATTTGCAGCTGCCCTGTTCTTTGCTGCGTTTTGCTCCAATGGGTGGCTGCATGGTGAGGTCCAGCTACCGTGGGGTATCCAAAGGGGATTTTATGAAACTCTCGCTGACAGCTACCAGTACCTACCGGTAGCTACTTCCTCTTGCTTGAAGCCATTCAACGAAGCAGACACGAAAGGGCTAGCGGTAGTACGAGCGGCCTTTAGTCCTGTGGTCTCTGGTTGCATCCCACGCTAATCATTGAAAGGGTACAGTACCAACAAGCCAACAAGCAACAAGCATTCCCTTGGAAGATCACGCTAAGTGTGACTGTTCACTCTATCAAACGATCGATTGCACTCGGATTGCGTGCAATATATATATTTTCACAGACTAACTTTGTACCACCGGTCTCTGGTACCGGTACTCGTACTCGATCAGTATGGGGCCATCCTGTTCACCCTAACAAAGAGACTGTGCTTCTGTGCTTGTAGTAGTACCTTGTACCAGTACGACATTCTCTGTACTACCGTACTAGATCTAGAGTACGGTATGCATATTTGCGCAAATCGAATCTATGTCACGCCACGTGCGTCCCAGGTATGCATACTGTAAAGTAGGATTGGTTTTGGATCACAACGCTTCCCTTTTTCTTGCGCAGAACCCCGCAGTACAGTAGCTAGGCTTCTGTTGGCTGGTAAAGACGTGAAGGGGAAGCTTCACTTCTTCTGTACCGCAAGCTACTGCTTACCGGTGGCAAGGGCAATAATAGGAACTGCTCGATCCCCAGCTAGCTAGCTCGTCAGTCAAAGCTGAATATGTACATGTAGCTCCATGATCCGTGGTTCCCACCAAGCATCCTAGTACCATCCATGCCTCTTTTCCAGCACCTCGGCTTTAAAAAAAAAAATACTAAACCCAAGCCAGCTTCAGGCTTTCTCGTAGCAGTGGGAGGCCGAAGATTGTATGAGTGAACGCCGAAATCTCCTGGTCAGATAAACTCGAGTAGAGCTGTTACCGCTGCATACCACACCGTAATCCTCGGCTGTCAACAACGCCAATTTTGGCTTCTCTTTGTCCGTTTGGAGACACCCAAATCGGCCTGAGCCACCGCCGTTTTTGCTTGGTGTTGGGCGCCGTTGGAGCCATGCTGGCAAGCTAGCTCGTACTTCGTAGGTAGACAAGCTAGCTTGTACTTCGTAGGTAGACAAGATATGCTACATGTACTAGCAAGGAAATTTGGGCTCCCTGGCTAGCTAGTAGAGTGCAGTATAGTATAGAACTGTCGGCTGAGACTACGGCTAGCTCGGATGAGATGATGTCGATTTGATTGAAATTATAAATGAACAATGTTATTAATGATTACTCCGTCGTAGGTCGTAGTATGGATACTACTCTTTTCGTGTTGTATTGTGAATTATGATAGTAGTTTGTGCAGTGAGACCCTTTCCCCCAGTATAGCAAGCTCTGTGTAGCTTAACAATGCGGGCGGAAGGATCCCATGCGGCCAAAGGGTTCTTCACCGGCTCCGCCAACTGGGACGGGGTTCATTTGCCTGCCAAACAATTCCATCTGTTGCATTTGCCGCAGACGTTGGAGGTTGCCCATTTGGGAGGGCATGTTGCCGCCCATCATACCGGGGCCCATTTGGCCTCCCATCATTCCAGGGCCCATTTGACCACCCATCATTTGACCTCCCATCATGTTTCCGCCCATCATTCCTGGGCCCATTTGACCTCCCATCATGTTTGACCTCCCATCATGCCGGGGCCCATTTGGCCTCCCATCATTCCTGGGCCCATTTGACCGCCCATCATTTGTCCTCCCATCATGTTTCCGCCCATCATTCCTGGGCCCATTTGACCGCCCATCATGTTTCCGCCCATGTGGTTGCCTTGGCCTCCCATTTGAGACATCATTTGGGAACCCATGCCACCAGGTCCCATCTCGGACATGGAAACTGGCTTGAATTCCATGTTCTTGAAGTTTGTGGGATCCCTCATGCCGTGTCCAACAGGGCTTCGACTTTGGCTTCTTCCGCCAAGGAAGCCACCATCCTGGGCATCGAAATTATCCTGAGAGGCGACGCCTTCTGGGAACATGCGAGACATGCCATTGGGACGTTGGAGGCCTTGTGTGCGACTGGAGTGAATGCCAAAGGCTGTTGGGCTCCCATGCCTGCCATGCCACCGCGCATCTTGGGAGCAGAGAGTTGAATCTCTTCGAGAGGAGGCAAGGAGTTTTCTTTGTCCATTTTGTAAAAGTCGGGTTCGTCTTCCTTCTTCATTGGAAGCTTCTTGTGTGTCTTGGGAAGACGACGCATGTATTTTTGGAGGTGGGGCTTGCCGCGGAGGAACAACTGGAGGAAGAAAAAAGAGAAGGACCATGTCAGTGAATCGTTCAAATGATGGTGTGGCGGCAGACAACAAGATAATAACAAGATAACACTTACTTCATGGTAATAAGAGCCGCGGTCGGGTCCAGAGCTAATTCGGCGGAAGCTCCAAGCATTAACCAAACGATTGAAGGAGTGGTAGTTGCTGTATTCGAAAAAGAGAGGCATAACCATGCTCTCGAAGAGGTTTGGCTTGAGGACCTTCCACGAACGACCGTGAGGCATCCAAGTGATGATGTCGTGGAACTCCTTCTGAGCCAGGATTGCATAGAGCTTAACAGGGAATTTCTGCACCCTGATGGAGCTCTCTAGACTGCCTCTTTGGTTGTTGTTGCTTTCGTCTTCGTTATCGGGTTCTTCGGGCATGGTACTGAAGTCACGGTACTTGTACAGGGTATTGCCGGAATCATTGTTCTCGTCGTCCAAAAGAAGAGGAGGGACGCTGCCAGTGGTACTGGATGTTTCTTTCTCTGTGTCACTCATGATGGTGCTGTTGTTGCTGATAGTGGGCTGTGGGGATTGGTTTTCAATTTGTGAGATGATGCTTTTGCTTTTCTTGAGCTTGAGATTGTGAGACTCTACAATCAGACGCTTCGACATGGAACCAACCTTTCGAAGTGAACGGGTGGCGTAACAAAGCCAGAGGGTTTCCAGGTTGGTCTTGGGTTTGCTGCAAGCGGGGCATATCAAAGTGTCAACCTTATGGGAGATAAAGATGACCGAATGACTTTCAGACTTAACAAAGAGCATTCGTAGAGTTACTGAACCTTTTGGTAATGCCTGAGATCCATTATTATTAATTTTAAATTGGAATCACTTTACAGTGCTAGGTTTAGTGTATATCAACCACCTGGGATAGGATAGAATGACAATTGGCTGCATTCCAGAAAATTCTGGCGTTGAGTTTGAGTACTCAGAGAATAGTCATCTGTAATCGTAATGTCAGATGGCCTCTGGGCAGACAATTTCGTATAGATCGTTTGACGTCCGTATGTCGTCCCATTTATATAAAAAGAACAATTTGTTTGGGTAGACAGACAGACTATTGATATCGTATATCCGGCAGATTCAGTGATCATTGTTCTGCAGTATTCAACACCAGAATTAAGCTTGCAGCCAAGATGGCATGAAATTAAGGGGCACAGTGGGCATACAGGGAAGCGTGGTTGTGCCCGAATGTGTGACCTTTGCAGTCATACTGTTTAGATGGCATATTTAAGGGCTAATCGTCAAAATTTGAACTCGAAACTTGGTCAATACCGAAAAGAATTAGTGGCGAGTTGCTTGGTGGTCTGCTGAGATTTACGAAGTTGGAATAAGTGTGCGAGAATGAGGGGGGATCCTTCATTCCACTTCGTTCCTTTCCGGTGAGGTCGTAGTCCGCTTCCACGGCGGGAGTGGATGTGTGACCGAAACTGGCCAGCCACCAGCCACAACGAGCATCAAGAGTCCTGCTTGGTGCTGCTGTTTGGTCTTTTGGCACTGCCAATTAGCTATGGTATTAGACAGCTAAAAGCTTCCGGTTGCTGTGTCGCTCCAGCTACCAGTGCCTACGGTTGGAGAAGTTCGGTATCCACAGGGCCAGTGCAGCAAGCACAGATACCGTCTGTACTGCACGCTGTACGAGTTAGAGCCACGGTACGACGAATGATAGGGTATTAGATAATACCCGTACGTCTCTGCTTGTCTGTTTGCATAGCTATCGGTACACTACATATGCCACCGTTGTATTCGATGGCGGAGATGCTGGTTTTTTATCTAATAGCGGCAGTTGGCTCATCTGTCACTTTCAACGAGGGCCCACCATAGGGCGTAAGAAAGAGACGAAGTACTCGTACACCGGTGGCAGACCTCTTGGCAAACACGTGGCCCAAGCTCTACGATACCGGTAGGTAGGTCTTCAGGACGAAACCTGGACCAACTCTAGCCAGGACCTGCATCAGGACCTACACGTGGCATCAATACTAACCAGTACCGTACATTTCGGAGCAAGAGGTGCGTGCAGGTTTGAACGAATTCAATCTCCTAGTGCTCCCACCGGATCTCGTTGAGGCTTGAATTGTTGGATGGGATCCAATGCATAGCGAATGCCTTCATGTTTAGTAAGTTAGCTTCCAGAAGCGAGTGTTCTGTACGTAGACGCCTAGCTAGTGCTCGCTCTGCTGTTTATCCCTACGGTACAAAGGGAAACAAGATTGCCCAATGTGCTAATACCCACTTTGTAAAAGCTGCCAGATGACGTTGCTGCGGCTTCAAGTGATTTTGTTTCGCTGACCTTTACAATCAGAGAAGTAAGGAATCAAGCAATCTGCCCCGTTGTACTCGTCCTCACATGCATAAGACTGCGTCACTAGCTGGTCGCCATTGCTGGCAGGCAGTATTTTCCACCACAGAGTCTTGGGAGCAGACAACTCAAGTCTACTTGTGGGTTGTCTGGATTTCATCGCTCTTTGGTGCCCTACAAGCAGTACGCTCGTATGTGGAGAGTACTAGTACTGCTTCGAGTCTCAGCACGTTTCTGGGCAGTTACAAGGGATGTGTGGGCAAACAGGGGAGCTTGTAACAGTCTACCAGACTTTTTGTTTGCTGGGACTGCCTTGCTTTCCCTTTCAACCTCCTGGTCCGTTTTCAAAAGGATGGGTTTGTTGATTGTTCGTATAGATTGAGATGAATTTGGCTTTCCCTGTTCGTTGTTTCGAAATCTAGCTAGCTGGCCTGGAGTGTCTGGTTGCTTTTGTCGGTTCTTTCGGAAAAGGCGTAGTCTACTTGGACAGTCCATGTACCGGCATCAGGTCCGGCATCACCTTTGGATATGCCCAGCAAGGCAAATGTGGATTGCTTTTCTGCATCTGCAGAATTTTCATGCTGCACCTACCGTTCCTGTCCCTGAAGGTTTAAAAACGAACCAAGATTTGAAGGTTTCAGGGAGTGGCTCTTTCGTGGAGAGGTGGAGCTTGGCAACGCGTTGTCCCCCAGTAACAAAATTCTCTCTTGGATGGATACTGTGATATTCCATTGTTGCTCAATTCAACATGTGGATAAAAACGGATGCGTGGATTGGTAGACTTTATCTCTGCATGGGTTCCACTGGTCTTGACCAATTTTTCGTCTCTGACACCCCAACGTCTCTCTCCCGATGGCAACTCTTGTCTCGTTTTTTCTGATTCTGCCTCAAGGGAATGAGCCGCATGATATTGTTCTCGGTGCAATGGCTCTTGTTGTTTCCTGCCTGATGACATGTTGGCACAGCCATAGCTCGGGCGATTCGCCTTTTCTCTTGCTGACTGAGCCCTCTTTTTTTTGCTCCCTCGCCTGTCCTTTCCTCCCTCGTCTGTCCTCCAGGTCACCTGTAGCCCATCAATAATTTTATGGCAGACATCGACTCACAGAGGGAGGGATCCGATAGGTTCCTCTTGATGCCATCGGTTGGGTCCGCCGAGATGTCCTGATGGTTGTTTGTTTATTTGGTGCCGATTCTGAAATTATGACATTTTGACCACCCAGTAAAAAACAAAATAAATCAGATGCCACAGGAAACCACTACACCTACAAAATCAACAGCATGGAGGTCTAGAAATGTTAAGCTTGAATTACTACTGCATACTTCAAATTAACCCATTCGGTGGGGCAAACTGACAACAATTTATCTGTTTGATTTGACGGTCATTGTATGTATCCCAGTATGGTCCCAAGTAAGATCATTCCTCTCTTTCTTCCTTTCTGCTGCTGCTCTGTAGTACAGACTACAATTGTCCTGTCCTGCTCTTTTGTGCTTCTTGAATCGATGGTGCTTGGTGTGCCTTTGTGTCCTTGTGACCAACAAGAGTACTAGCGGTGGTGAGCCTGCTCCTTCTTTCGTTGTTGCGACTGCCGCTTTTTCTCCTGGGCTGCTTTGGCTCGATAATGATGCGCACGAGCGGCTTCATACGCCGCTGCTGCGAAACCTCCCACCAGTGGACGATGATTTGGATCCCCTGCTCTCGTTTGGTCCATTTCTGTTGATGAGACGCCTGGTATAGGACCCCCTTGAACCGGAGCAGCGGCAGCCGGTGGCGGAGGAGGAGGACCTTGTTCCTCTTCCTCTTCTGAATCCACAAAATCAGGAATCAGAGATCCTCCTGCCGCAGGCTGAAGCATCACACTCTGTCTCTTGGGGCCACCGCCGCTTCCTTGAGGTTTTCCAGACGACATCTTGACTTCTGTTGTGTTTCGTGGGGCGGTGCTTCTTTGCTGCGTGCTGCTTCGTTGGAATTGTGGTGGAGCTCTCAAATGTCCGGCACAACGACTTCTATGACCCAATGTCGTGCCCATGTTGGACCTTTCTAAACGACCAAACCATCAGTGACCTCTTCTGCGCGCGGTTTTCGTCAGTCACCAGTGTGATGTCACTCAAACTTCTTATCCGGGACGTCGCTCGGACGTCCTCCGATGCAAGTTGGGCAAACAGGAGCTGGCTGCCGGTACCGTATGGTTGCATGGTTTCATTTTAGCAATGCATAGCCGCAATGTCCTACGTTGTAGGCAAACTTATCCTAGGATGAGCGAGGAGGCAATGGAAACAACATGGACGAAGCAACTTCGAAATCAAATTCTGGATTCATCAATTCATCAAAAGCAGCACAGACTTGCAAACTTGGGTGGCTAGAAACGATGAAAGCACGCGGTCAGATAGAGTTTGTGCAAAGAGGTGCAGCCTGTTGCACACCGCACCCTCCCGGTACCGGTATACTGCTGCTCTACGCCTTACTGTACTAGTACACGTAGATGGCACATCTTCTATTGTAGGCTGGTCCTGATGATATTATGCCTTTCTCTCATCTGTGATTCGATTCCATGAGGCTCCAGCACACACCCTGAAACTCTAGGAAGGCACGGATGGCAGCGATGAACCCAACCATGCAGTCCGTCTTGCCTGTCTCACCCCTCCTCTCCACGAGTTTCATACTGGAATCGCAACCAACGAACGACATGTCACTTGCCATATCGATACGCCCGCCTTGTGGAGACGGGGAGTGAGAAGGACCGCTGCATCAGACTCGAAATCACTTGCCTTCGAGAAAAGTGTGCACTAGCTTGAAGCTAGTACTGTAGGCATGCTCTCAACTCAACGAATGGCCCTCCATTCAGGTGTACTAGTTGCAGTACGGTGGACGCCAACTTCCAAAGAATGTCTTTGGAGGATATTTGGATGGCCACGAAGATCCAAATCGAAAGTCCTTCTATTCTAATCTCGTACTTCTATACCGTAGCTAGCACCATTTCCCATTGCCAAACGTTATGTGCGAGAAGGGAAGCAGAACCGTTGCACCAGCCGTCAGTTTTGGGAAACAACAATGCCAACGAGTGCCGGTACTTACGTCTAGTATTTATCAGGCATACGTTCGATTCAGACTCAGAGCATGGTTTTTGATTGAACTACTACGACTGTACTCTAGCTAGCTGGGTCTCTTTTTCTTTCGCTTCCCGTAGACGAGCTGGTGTGATGCGTCTGTGTACACAGATCGTAGGAAGATCGTCGGTAACAACGAGCAAAGATCCGGTCACACATCATCGCCATGGCCTCGCCTGCTATCTAGATCCCTCGAAGACGTCTTGCTTGCTGCCGGTGAGGGTGGATCGAATCGTCCATGCACTTCCACATGTCTGCCAATGCTTGGGAACGTCAGCCTTGGACTAACTGGACCCGCCTCCGTTATGTGCTCAAATCCCCGCCAGCGAACCACCACAGCCAGCCCTACGCACGCACAAAAGGAGAGTTTTCGCTGGCAGCAACAAGGCTAGCTAGGAGCGACGAAAGAGAAAGCAAGGAAATCAAGGAGGTCAAAAGAAGAGGAGCCACAGTTGGCAAAGAGCTGGATATTGCTCCGCAATTCGTAATGTAGTTGCAGTTCGTTCGGGGCGCCGTCGGGGCGCATGCGAGCATCACTCGGGAGCCGCCACCGGCCGCTCACTGGAGATTAGTCCAACGAAGCTATTCATGCAACAGCCCTTACCTCGCTTCGCCTCGACTGAACCACTCGGTATTGGCACAGCGATAAGTGGTAAGAGCTCCATGAACCAGCGAAATGGGAGCTTTGAGCGTTGCTTTCTTCCGCCGCTCGCTCTTCTACAAACTCACAAACTCACAAACTCACAAACTCACAAACTCACAAACTCACAAACCAACACCAAATCAGAACAAAACAAAACGTATCAACTTATTCACTAACTCGAGAACAGCAGACGTACCTATCAGTATCAAGAACCAAGTCAGCAAACAAAAAGAAAAAAACGAGTCGAGTCGAGTCGAGTCAATCAAGAAACACCAAACACAACACAACACAACAAAAACAAAACACCATGAAGTTCATTGCCAGTGCCGTAGCCCTTTTGAGTACCACCAGTGCTGTTTCAGGAACAACTTACCATGAAGACCCTACTATGCATCTAACTGGTTGGCACAGCAGGAATCAAGTCTCTCCAGAAGAGGATGAAAAGCCAGTCCGCATTGGGTCCATTCAAGCTGAGCCAGTCCACTGGAACTTGACCGCAACCATTGACAAGTTTTGTGACTTTATGCACTCGGCTGGAGCAGCAAACATGGACTTGATCACCCTGTCAGAGGGATTCCTTTCAGGGTATCCCTGGTTCAACTTCTTTGCTGAAACATATGACATGGCCTCCAATGCCAAGATAAGTCAGATCTTTGCTGAGAACAGTCTGCAGATAGGAAGTGCAGCAATGGCAAGGGTTCAGGAGTGTATTGCTGAGGCAGAAGTCAATGTTGTTCTTCCGATCAATGAACGCGATGATAAAGGAAGTGAGTCAGCAGTGTTCAACACTGCCTTATTCATCAACAAGTCAGGAGAGATAGTTGGGAGACACCGCAAAACCCTTCCTTCATTCACTGAACGCTTCTGGTGGACTCAAGGGGATGGAGCTGGTCTTGTTGTCATTGACATGGTACGTAAGGTACCATGGGGATAACATCATTGCTTCATCACAAAATGGCTCACAATGTCTTACCCTCTATTCTTGTCCTTCATAATTCATAGCCTGATGTTGGCAGAGTGTGCTCACTTCAGTGTTGGGAGAGCTATTTGGCGTTGGCTCGATACACTTTGATGGCCCAGGGTTGTGAATTCTTAATGGTTCCTACACAAGACCTCGGTATGTACCACCAACAACAGACTGGATTACTGCTATTAGGTGTCATAGCCATACTGGTGACTCACACAACTATTCGATGTCCTTTGAAGGAACCATTTGGGATAGCCACATTTCAGACATTGCACGTGAAGGGCGCTGGTATGTCATTGCCCAAGGACAAGTAAGCACTGAAAGAGGATTGTAACTTGCAGATTGCTTTGTGCCATAAGGCCTCACATGTCCCATAATTGCAGGTCATGGCACCTTATGGCGAGGCAATGCAAGGCAGTGCCATCACCCAGACATACACAGAGCCTGGTGGTTCACAGTGGTACCCTCATCTGCTTGAAGGATTCAAGAAGGCATACAATTGCACCGACAGTGCAACCGCAAGTGTGAAACCGCAAAAGTTGCTCCGTGGAAACTCTGCAACAGCTGCAAAGAATGATGTTGGTACAGTCACTTTGATCCCAGAACCTGTATCTGTTGACCAAACCAAGGAAAAGTGTGCAACCTACTTTATGGATGGCGGCATGTCCATTGCCGATCCAAATGGTCGCTTCTTGGTGAACCCTATTCGCTCCAACTACATGTATTCAGACACAGTAAGTGCAGCACATTCTGGCTGTGTCCACTCACTTGGGCCTGGGATGCCAGAGGAGAGCCATTGCGAGTTTGTGGAAGTGGATGGGGTAAGTAGGACTGATCGTTATGTGGTGTTGAGATGACTTCCCTGGCATCCTGAATGCTCATTCTTTTCTCCATTTTGTCACTCTCTGCAACAGTACAACAGCAATGAAGAGTTCATTGTGTTGACCAATGCCTCACGAGGACAAGTGCTAGCTTCCAAGTTGTATCAAGATAATGTTGGCAATTATGCCCGCACTGATATCTGGAAGGTTGAATGGGACAATGCCCCCCGTGATTACATCTTTGAAACTGCTACTAAGGATCTCAACAAGGCGCCTGAGGCAGCAGGCAATGGTCTCTAGAGTGCAGCCAGCAGAGTTAATTAGATTTGTATAGAAGAGACCATTTGCTACCTCCAGACTTTTCTTTTGCTTCGCTTAGCTCTGTTCTATTTCTTTTAGCATCTTCCAACCCAAGCCGAATGGTCTTCTGAATCGATGTCGGGGTGCCCAGTATACAAGACTAAACGTCCGTCAGCGGGTTGTTGAGTTTCGACATGAGCCCTGGGGGTGTCCTGCTCGTCGTACGATCTGTGGAAAGTAACCCTCCAAGATCTCAACCGACCTTCATCCAGATCAGGGCCAATGTAATGAAATTATGCCACATCGGAGTAATACCCAGGTGCCATCCAATGGACAGGGTTCCACATATATACTGGGGCATTCTTCAAGTAGATTGTAAAGTTGTCGTCACTGAGTATGAAACGGAAAACAGAGGAACAGCCAAGAAAAGGAATACTAGTAGCTTGGTAGGCAGCTACGGTACTCTCCTAATCCTTCGAGTCCACTGTACCGACTTGCTTGCTCAATCAGTCTGCTCTTGAGATGCCGAACCATCTACGAACAATGGATCTGAATTGTCGGCAGCGGACCGCGGTTTGTAGTCGCACCTACCGTATTGAAATGAACAACACGCACCAAAAAATGAATGGTTAGGATATAATACTGTTCCAGCACCACAAAGTTTCTTCGGTTAAGTGTTAACAAACGCACCGTTCACTACAGGGAGAGAAGATGCTATCCTCGATTTCTTCTGCAATTTCCCACAAGACTCTTGCTTCTGGAGAGTGTGCTCCGTACTTTTGCGTGGCATTGAGAGCGGCTTGCATGGCTTCTTGGTGCCTTTGGTTGTTGGTACTACTAGCAAAAAGTGGTGGCAACCTGTGTAGAAAAGATCCTCTCTTGGTGAGGAACCCCGAGACGGCAGTTGCCAGCAGCAATACCACTGCTGCTACTGCATATCGACATCTCTCCATCTTCTTCCATTGCATGCTTGCCATCTTCTTTCTTGGCCGCCGTTGTTTGTGTTGTTTGCGTGGGATCTTTTTGGTCGATTTAGGATTCATTCCCGTTTTGCAGTGATTCCTGTATGCGACGTCATCAAATCTTTGGCATTCTGCTCGGTTCGATGAAGCAAAACCAAAATCCAACAGGCCATGACACAAAGCAGCCGCACATAACAGATCTCCCAGAGGCATCATTAGCAAGTAATAGCAATAAATCAAGCAAGATGGCAGGTGAAGAAGAAGAGACTCCTACGGTGGTGGCGAAGAGCGGTGACATTGTGGATGTGACGATGCATCCTCTGGTTCTTCTGAGCGCCGCCGATCACTACCATCGAGTGGCTCGAGGCACTCGAAAGCGAGTGGTTGGTCTCTTGTTGGGTTCTGTGTTGAGGGGACAAGTCGATGCCACCAATTCCTTTGCCGTCCCATTCGAAGAAGACTCGCGCAATCCAGTAAGTCATTTGATTGAATTGATTGATGGATGTGCGACATTGAGTTGTCGCGAGTTCGAGATCTCACCATACTCTCTCTGTCTGTCGTAATGTACCGTCAATCTCACTGTCACAACAACCACACCACAACAATCAACATCACTATTCAACCCACAGGCAGTCTTTTACTTGGACCACAACTACTTGGAGAGCATGCTGGCCATGTTTCGCAAAGTCAACGCCAAGGAACGCGTCGTTGGCTTTTACTCGACCGGCCCTTCGATCCGACCCAACGATCTCCGCATTCACGACATTGTCAAACGCTTCTTGCCGGCCAACACGGTCACTCCTCCCATTTTCTGCATCATTGACATTCGACCCGACCGAAAGTCGCACCCTACCACGGCCTACAAGGTCGTCGAAGAAGTCTCCACCAAAGATGGACAACGACAAGTCAAACTATCCTTTGCCCACGTGCCCTCCCAAATGGGCGCACTCGAAGCCGAAGAAGTCGGCGTCGAACATTTGCTGCGAGATATCAACGATCCCACCGTAAGTACCGTCGCTTCGCTCATCAAGGGAAAAATTGCCGGGTTGGCCACCTTGACGGAAAAACTGGTCGAATGCAAAGACTACCTGGAATCCTGCGTGCGGGGAGAACAAAAGGTCAACCCCGAAATTGTGGCCAATTTGCAAACCATCATGAACTTGCTGCCCAATCTCAATACCGAAGATCTGGTCCGATCATTCGTCGTCAAGACCAATGATATGCAAATGGCAATCTATTTGAGTGCACTGATCCGATCCGTCATTGCGCTACATGATCTGGTCAACAATCGAATTCAATACGGAGGAGGCGCTGGAAACGATGGGGAAATCGCCACTGGAAAGGAAGAGGAAAAGAAAGAAGACGATACCAAGACAGCACAAAAGAAAGACGCCAAAAAGTAAACAATAGAACATGACTGCATTCTTTCTTTTCTTCTACCTATGATACATGTACCGGTATGGTCTGTGCTACAGTACAAGTACGGTAGACGTGATACTACGTACGAGTCCCTCCCCAATTCAATACTAGCTAGCTAGCCTACCGGTATGATATTTATTCAGACATTTTGTGTGGACGTACCGAACCCTACCGTACGATGTAGGTGCAACGCACCACATCGAAGTTCGCAGCTAGCAAACCACACCCTTGCGGGCTACTCTTGGACTGCCGGTACCAGTACCACCTACCGTAGCGCAAGAGAGACGGCAATTGTGTCAAGCTTGGAGGACTGTAATCGAAGACGGCAACAAAGCTTGGAGTGCTGTACATGTAATACATGTAGAACACAGAACCAGGGGTGCACGGGAGGATTTGTGAGAGACAGCCGGAACGGAAGTGGGGCAGGTTCTGGGAGACAAGGTTCAGTTTTTGTGCCAGGATCATGAGTCACCCCTACAAGGGCAGCGGATAGCTGGATAGAAGATCAGTCGATAGTACAAGCATTGAATTTCGTTCGGAGACTTTTGCATGATGGTAGGAGCTTGAGACATCCATTGGAGCAGCAAATGGGCGAGAACATTGGTACGGAACGTACATGGGCCTTGCTTCCGGTACCTGCATACTTCTCTGGGTCTGGAGGACACATTATTATGCCTTCCTATGCGGATGCCTCGACAGCAAACTGAACGTGATACCGAGGCAGGGATTGGCAATGACTGCCATATTATATACCCCACATTCCAAAAGACACGGCACCCGCGAAAGGCTGATCCTTAAACGTTAAATCTAAAGAGGATGACATCACCCTCTTGCACTACGTACTCCTTGCCTTCACTTCGGAGCAGTCCCTTTGACTTGGCATTGGCTTCGCTCCCACAGTCTACCAAATGGTCATAGCTGATTGTTTCGGCACGGATAAAGCCTCTTTCAAAGTCGTTGTGAATCACCCCAGCAGCTTGCGGCGCCAACCAGCCCTTTTGGATGGTCCATGCACGGGTTTCTGTGGGTCCACTGGTGTAGTAGGTTTGTAATTGTAGCAAATCGTAGGCATTTCGTACCAGTGCTCGCAAGCCACAGTTCTCCAATTCGACACCCAAATCTGCCAGGAAATCTTTTCGTTCTTCATCGTCCAACTCTATCAATTCTGATTCTACTTGAGCGGAAACAATGACTAACTTGGCCCCTTCCTTTTCGGCCATTTCCTTCAACTTATCAACCATTGCATTGCCCGTGGCAAGTTCCTCTTGTAACATGGGACGCAAAGTTCACATTGAGCATGTTGATCATACGAAGACAGATCCGTGCTACGAATTCAGAAAGACCTACCATCTGCAACATTAGCAGCATAGATCATGCTCTTCAGTGTCAAGAGACCCAGGGATTTGATGGAAAGCTTTTCTTCGTCATCCAAATTGGCATTCCTGGCCGGCTCATCGTTGAGCAATACGGCTGCTACCTTTTCCAATGCCTGCTTTTCAATTGGATCTGCGTTGCGATCTTTCCTGACTCGTTCCAGACGCTTCTCCACTGAAGCCAGATCGGCGAGAGCCAATTCCAAGTTGATCTAAAAAGCGCAAAAAGTGCAAATGAATGTGTAAGTAAATTTGTGCCAAAAGAAAAAAATGATTGAATCAATCGCTTACCAACTCGGCATCGCGGATCGGATCGATCGTCCCATCCACGTGGATCACATCTTCATTCTCAAAGCATCGGACTACATGCACCACGGCATCGCATTGTCGAATCGATGTTAAAAACTGATTTCCAAGCCCTTCTCCAGAACTGGCACCTTTAATGAGTCCGGCTACATCCACAAATTCCAGGGTAGCAGGAACAATCTTTTCCGAACTGTTAATGTCCGAGAGGACCTTGAGTTTGGGATCCGGCACGGAGACAATACCCACGTTGCTCTCAATGGTACAGAATGGATAATTGGCGGCTTCGGCACTCTGAGTTTCTGTGAGAGCATTGAAAAGAGTCGACTTTCCGACACTGCAAGCAAGACATAAAATGAGTTTAATCTTCGCGGCATCCCTACCGTATGAAAGAATTACTGACTTACTTTGGGAGCCCCACAATGGCGGTTTGAAGTTTCATGGACAGGGTAGATTTCGAGTACCCACGACGAAAGGTGTTGACCCTTGTAAAAGAAGAGGAGGTCAACGAGGAAAACGCCGATGTGGTCCGAGAAAGGATACAAAACATCATGGAAACTGAAATGAAAAGCTTCATGGTGGGTGATCAAGAAAGAATGAACAAGTGCAGCACTACTGAGTTACGAGGACTTGAAAAGGTAAAACAGACAGATTCCTTTCTTCTTCATCATCGCATCGCGATCACCTTTCTTCTGCGTTGATTCGATTCAGTGGATGGAGGAGGCATCGTCATTGTGTCAGCGTTGTACGTACGCATTTTATGACAGCAGAGCTGACATCGATACCGAAGTCGGCCTTTAAGATCGTGCCGACCGTGGCGTGGAAACTATAGCGGTACCGCTTGTTTTGGTGGAATTGGGCAGAAAACAAAATGCAGGTTTTGAAAACTTGGTTGTTTGGTGGTCTTTGTACCGGTAATAGATGAGATTGATTCCTCTCACAGAACAAAATTGCAAATGTGGCAATCAATCATTAATTAAGACGTCTTTTAAGGTCCCATTCCACGCGCAAGGCAAAGTGATAAGCAAATGTAGGAAAGTCGAATCCACCTTACAATTAATTATGTACATGTATTCAGGGGCCTACAAAACCAAATTCTCCTCAATGGAATCACTTCCAACGCATGCAAGCAAAGGACCCACTTTTACCGGTATGGATAACGAAGATTGAATCATTCCAATGCTTCGTTCTTCTAAGCGGAAAACGTGGTGGATTGTTTGGTTGCAGTGGCAGTTGTTCCCTCGGTATGAAGCACTTTGTTCCATCCCAGATGTCCACATGGTCTTTCCAGTGATTGGTTTGTGTGTGGTTTGAAGCCAGTGTCGTGAGATGCGATGGACTGATCCAAAAGTGACGAGTTTTCTCCAACTGCTCCAAGTTTTCCATGGTGCCCGTTGTGGGAGGAGTATCAGGCATTACAGCAGCCGCTTCAATGACCACGGCATCTTGAACGGCATCACCTTCACCCTCCAAGAATCCTTCCGAGCCAAGCTGTGCAATCCAATTGTCGATTCGTTCGTCGGTCAGTTCTTCCTGGTTGACCATATCCAACAGCAATCCACAAAATTTGTCTCCACCTCGAATGGCCTTGCTATCGTCGTGAAGGTATCCCTCGGTGCTAACATACCTGCATTTTGCATCCTAAACTTTCAAAGATGTCGTGCAATTCACCGGCCGCGTCGGCATAATTTTCCGAGTAAGAAACGGAATCTCCCAGGCCAAAGACAGCCACTTTTTTGTCGCCTAGATCCAGACCCTCCATGCTGCCATAGTAGAGTTCGTCCCATCCCGTTCCGGATCGCTCGGTATCGGCGCCTGTCCAAAATATACCCAACATCAAGGTTAGACAAGGAACATCAAGGATTCATTATCTCCTTCCTCTCTGATGATAATGCTCCCTTTCACGCTATTCAATATCTTTCAATTTTCTTCTCCATCACCAAACATGCTTCATCTCCACGAAAAGCAGCACACCAGTATTCTCGACTCACCTGTATTCCAAGTGGGGGTACCAACAACCAGGCATCATACTTTCGGAAGGTCTCCACAATCGAATCTCCGTCATCGACATGAAAGGACCTTCGGCGCCCAATTTCTCGGCAATCTTTTCGGCACACTCTTCCGTGTTTCCAGTGCTGGTTCCAAAAAAGACACCAACTTTCATGAACAGAGGAGTACCCCTCGTATTGACGGAAGGCTGGTTTGGAAAAAGTGTAAAGGCGTTCGAACCATTGGGCAAAACAAGCAGGGTAGCCAATGAAAGGGAGGAAAGAAAGAACTTCATTTTGATTGTTTCGATCGCTATCGTAGAGTAATGAAGATGAAGATAACCAGATCAATGATAGATGGGATACTAGCAGCAACTGTAGCAACTGTAGCAACCCTTCGAAGTGATGGATTTTCAGTGGTGGTTGTGTCTTTTGGGAACATCCGCCACCTGTTTGGATTCGTGGTCTGGCCAATGCGGAAAGGAAGAAGCAGATGCAAGATCCTTCGCGTCATCGCGCTGGCCCATTTTAATCCAACTTCGAAAGCTGTGAAGACATCCCGGGTGAGTCGGACCGGCTTATCGTGGCTGGTTCTCTGTGGATGCATTGAAACCAGAAAAGTGCTGTTACCCATGGTACCGGTATGAGATAGCCGTACCTGCTGCATCTGATCGGACAGAAATTGATTAGGTGGCCATGGAAATCCAGCTTATGCATCCAACAAATGGATAGCTCGATGGCAAAGTACTACCGGTAGGTACATGTACAATGTAGGTTCCTCATTGTAGTATTGAATTCAAGTCCCCGTTTCTTCTATTACATATACAATGTAGTACCGGTACCTGGTAGAGTCCAACAACAACACTGACCAGCATTTGAGGCATCATGCAGCTATTGTAAAGGTATACTACCAGCTCTATAGCTGCCCGGACCGGTACATGACCAGGAACGGTACATGTAGCAGATTGAAGATTCAATCATTTGGTTCACAAGTCAAAGAAGCAAATAGATACTCAAAGCGCACCCCCTTGGTGGGATGCTTGCTTCTTCCTCCACCACACATTTCGACCTCAACGACCGTCCGTCCACATTATTAATACAAGCCACGGGTACTGTACTGCTATGCTACAGTAGGTCTACCTGGTATGCCAGACGATTATCAGGAGCTGCCACCGCAGAAGCAAGCGGATGAGTGTCTCTGACGGAACAACAATGATGTCCTGAGCATGGTCGTCTAACTTGCGGGAGTCGAGTGATCTTACTTTTGCTACAAAAAAGTACTTTTTTGGATTTATCGTTTGCTTTTGGCTACGGTAATTACATGAGGTTTAGATGTGACGGTACGGATTTTGGCGCAATGATGGTAATTAGGCTCGAGGTACGCGCTTCATGAGAATTTTAGCGAGATGAATGAAGGGTAACACATGAGTCAACTGTTCGCCCTGATGTGCAAGTGTCCCAGGGATATGCTACTCTGTGGAAAGGCCCCAAGCCGTTGATCCATCGCTATGTACGATACATGAACCTTGCCGGTAGTAGTAGAGAAGAAGAGCAATCAAAACAACAATCCACGCCATCACACCCAAGATGCATCAATACGATGGCTGCTGCTGTGTTGGCGTCGTGTCCAGTTGGATGCGTTGGCTGACATTATTCGTGGCAATGATGCAGTACAGCCAAACAGTCCAGATAGACAACTGCGGCAAGATCGAGCATATCGATACTACAACGATGATCTGAC